CCACAACGTCGTAGTCATCCTCGTCATCGTCAGTATCGTCGTTCCCGCCCTATCTCACCTCATACGGGTCATGGACACACCTCGGCGGTGATGATTGCACGCGCCAGTGACCCGCCTCACCTGGTCCAGCGTGCCCACGTCCAGGCCGTCCTCCATAGACATCATCGCATCCATCTCGTCGGCGACGGCGACGGCGGCGGAGCCGTTAAGCTTGGAGTCGTAAAAGTCCAAGTCGCGGAAGGCAACGATGTTGAGCTCCTCCAGCTTGTGCTCTATCTTCTTGGCCTCGACGTCGATATCCACGGCGATATTGTTCTTCGCGACCGTGCCCGTCGCGCCCTTGGCCCCGCCCTTGCCCGTCAGGTGCGTGCTGCTGCCGCCCGAGCCTGTTGAACCCTTGCCCCTCGATCTGGCAGCCGAGCCTGTCTTCTTGTTGCCCTTGGTGCTCTTGCCATTAGCCTCGTCTGTGGGCTTACTGCCGCCAGTGCCCTTGGCCTTCGAGCCGTACGTGCACCTGCCATTCCCACCGCCATTGTCCTTTGCCATCCAGTCGTCCTTGTCCCAATACTTTGCGCCATTCGCCTCGTCCGTGGGCGTCCTGTCGTCAGTGTCCCTGGCGTTCGAGCCGTACGTGCTCTTGCCCCACCAGCCGTCCTTGTCCGTGTCCTTCCAGCCGTCATTCTCCTTCCAGCCGTCCTTGTCCGTGTCCCACCAGCCGTCAGCCGCGCTATCTCGCCAGTGGCCTCTGTGCGCGCGACTGGCATGGTAGGAGCTGGCGTCGCGCTTGTCTGCGGCCTGGTAGCTGCCGCCTCTGCCCGCGTCACGGCTGCCGTGGCCCGAGCCCTTCTCGCGATCGTAGTAGTCCGCCGGAGCATGCGTCTTGCGGCCACCGCCCCGAGCCCGCTTGAAGGCTGCCTGTGCGTACCATGGCCACTTATTGGAGTCGACCGCGCCTGGTTGTGGCGCTGCCAGCGCCAGCTGCTGTCCGCGCCGTGCTTCTGCCGCTTTGCCGTGCGCACGTCGCCCTCAGCAGCAGGAGGCTGCACGACGTACGCGCCTGGCGCTGGCGCCGAGCTGGGGCCCGCCGTCACCGTAGGCTGCACCGCCACGTACGCGCCTAGTGGCACGTGATGCTGCACCGCCACGTTAGGCTGCTGCACCGCCACGTTAGGCTGCTGCACCGCCGCGTTAGGCTGCACCACCGCCACGGGAGGCTGCAATACCACGTTAGGCTGCACCGCCACGTACGCGCCTAGTGGCACGTGATGCTGCACCGCCACGTTAGGCGGAACCACCACCAAGTATGCGGCCATCGCCGCGACCAGGCGTGCCGCCGCGCGCAAAGATGCGCGGCACGGGGGGCACGCGGCGGGCGCGTAGTCGCGCCGAGACATGGCGTGACAGCCACGCTCGGCTCGAGCCAAAATGGATACGGACTGTGGGCGACCAAGATGCCCCAAGCTTTGTCGAGCTTACGAGCTGTCATCGATACTAGCATGTCCAAGACGCCAAAGACGCCCAAGACGCCCCCATGACGCCCCACGACGCCCAAATACGTCCACGAATACGCCCCAAGACGCCCCAAGACGCCCAAGACGCCCCAAGACGCCCCAAGACGCCCAAGATGTCCAAGGCGCCCCAAGACGCCCCTAACGCACTTAAGACATCCCACGACGCCCGAGACATCCCCACCAAACGTTTGCACGCGCACGGCACTGCACGGCACGTCACACCACGCACGCATTTGTCACTGACACGGCCACCGCGGAAGCAGCGCACGGCCATTGGGGGTGGCGGCGGCGTTTTACGCCAATATGGGTAGCTCGGGGGCAATTCGGGACCATTGATGGAGCGTTTCGAGAGGTGATATATCGGATGGTTGACACATACCCCCCCCCCCGCGGGGCACACCTGGGGCCCCGTGACGGCGGTCAGGGCGCAGCCCACAACACTCATGATGCGATGAAGGATGTGCGATGAGGGGCAGAGCGAGAGGCGAGGTGCGAGTGCGATGGGACGCTGAAAATGATGACAGAACGATGCGCGAGAGCGCCAAACATGACCAGATGCGCGTGTGCCAGCAAGTACCGAACCAGTTGTCTCCAGATGTCGATCTGCAAATCTGCAGATCGACAT